CCCTCCACATCAAACCATGACAGTATCACACCTATTAGTCAGGATAGCAATCCATGTTGTGAATCCTGTTTTTTAAATTATTTCTTTGGTTTCCAAATTCAGACAAAAGGAATCCCAGAGCCAAGAGAATGTAAAAACGCAGCTGAAAAGTACTGTTGAAGAGCTGGAAGCTGCCAACCAGCTGCAGGAGGAGACGCTGAGGGAGGCTGACAGCCAAACTGAGCACCTGGAAAAGATGATACAGAGCCACGAGGAAGTACTTCTGGAACTACATGGCATCCTGATGGACTACAAAGACAGCACAGGCAAGAAACTCTGTGAACATGGGAATATTGCAAGCCTGCACATCCACAACCTGAGCACGACGTTTGCTGACGTCCTGCGAGAGTTAGACTCAGAGGTGTCATACCTCAAAGAAAAGGTTGTCCTGGTATGTGAAGAAAACGCTACTTTTTCTTCCAACACTGTGTTCTGATTCTCAGAAAATATTTTTTAAAACTCCAAGAGCTCCCATCTGAACTGGCCTAAGGAAATGGTTATGGCATCAAGAGGTGCAAATGCTGCTTTGCAGTTAAGATGGCAGGTGCTGATACGTCAGCCTTTTAGACTGTCCCCAACTTGAGATTGGGTTTATTGCTGGCATTTACCCTGTGTTGTGCACGTTTTCACAGTTCAAGGTGGAAGCAAAGGGAGGGAAATTACACTGTGAAAACTACTGTTTAGACCCTCTTTTCTTTAGGAGTTAGCATTGTTATCTGTTTACCATAGGTGGAAGAAGAACTTGAGTCATTGAAAAAAGATTCACAGACCCAAAACCAGCTTCTGCTTCAGCAGCATCAAAATAGGTACTTGTTCTCCTTTTATTTACTCATAAAACATAAATAGACGTTTTTTCAGCTTCCACGGATAATTCTTTTCTGATGTTATTGGGAGGAGGGGAGTGGCTGGAGGCAGCAAACGATGTTTTTGAGGACTTAAAAAAGGTTCTATTCCAGATGTTTATTTGCTCTTGACTTTCTACTGCTTTCTGTGCTGACAATTTCGTGTTTTATTCACTGCCTCAAAAAAAGATGATTTTCGAAGGATCTGAACACCTTACTTAGGTGTGATTGGTCATTGAGGTGGACATCTGGAATGTGTTGCAAGACTAGTTCCCCTGATAACAGGAAAGATTTTGGTGGTTGCATGAACTTTTTCTTACTAATTTCACTAAGAGCTTTGTCCTTCATTGTTCAAGAAGTCCTAATTTCCCCAGCTATCCACCCTAATATACAGTAACCTGTTCAAAATAAAAGGGTTGATAACTGGATACATGATATTTCGTTCACAATAGAACATAAAAATAATTACATTTCTGGCTACTGAAAAATACCATTACCTCTTCAGTGGAGAAGTTCCTGTTTGCCAAGACTAAAATTATAACCAGTGTTTTCTAAAGAAAACAGGATCGAGCAGCCAGGAAGTGAGTGTGAACAGGAGGTGGCAGCAGTAGCTGACAAAGCTGACATTGCTCACAGCTGTGCAAACAGTATCCAAAGCCAGGGGGAGACCATTCAGTAGGTTTTTTGTTTCTAGTGTAGAAAACGTTAAGAGTAACCTTAATTTGAGAGAAAGCCAGTGCTGCTGGTATACTCTACTCTCTGCCCTACGCTTGTGGTTTCTTGGTGTCTTTGTTTAAAGAGTTAAACAGTCCTTGCATAAATAATAGAGTGAAACAAAAAAGGGTAAAAACAAAAAAAAAACATGAAATCATGCTATGTAGAGGAGAGGCAGAACAGCCATGCATTAGTCAGGCTCGGAGAATCAGGAGACCTGGGCTGGTTCTCTCCTCAGGCTGAGGAAGAGGAGTCAGGCCAGCAAAGTCAGTGGAAGTTCAAACTGGCTTGAGCTGTCAGTTCTCTTCATGCCACCAGCTTTTGGAATGATGAATTCCTGTTATCTGAATTGTCAACAGTTTCTGCTGAGTGCCTGGCTAGAGTTGAGGGATGAAGGGGTTTGTAAGCTCAGAGCTGTGGCTCAGTGCAGTTTTGGGTGGCTGCATTGCACCGTGACCTTTGCCTTCTGAATGTTCTATGGATTTGGATACAAAATTGATTTCCAGCAGCATTATCTGCTGAGTCACTGACAAGAATGGGTAAACAGTTGGCTTGTTTGCCTACGTGTGCAAACACTAATGAACGATAATTTTAAAGAAAGGGTAATTTTCATTTGGGATCCATAGCTGTGTTGATACTGTTGAAATTCATAACAGTTGAGTGAAAATAAAAAGACACTAATTCCCACTGGCCGCTTGATGACTCAGAAATCAGCGCTCAATGTATCAGTTAAAAAAAATGAGGACATGCCGTGCAGTGTTGCAAACTTAAGATGAGATTTAAATATCAGCAGGCATTAAGATCTGACTTGCATAGTGACTGAGTAGCTGATAGCACAATGCTTCTCACTTCTGCTTGTAGAATAGTTGGGGTGCACTTGAAAGCAGACTTGGCATTTATAGAACTTCCTTGAGAATAACTGAGTTATCATCAGGCATAAAAAGCATCAAGATGTCAATTTGTGTAATTTTACGTGAGCTGGAAATCAGAGAGCAGATCTAACCAGTAAGAAGGTGTAAATTATATGTGATGCCACTGTGAATGATAATCATACTTCAAAGGAGCAAGTTTCAGTGGTCGTACTGATGGCAGTGAAAACAACCACAAATGTTTCACACAGTTCTTAGAGTTTCTAATTTCTCCACCTAAAACTTTTCTTAGAGAACAAACAGGAAACGAAAATCCAGCACCTTCACATGAAGTTAGTCACCTGGAATCTGAAGTTTCTCAGCTGCATTCTGAATTACAAGAAGCTAAGAAGATGTATGAAGACAAGGTGTGTATGGATTTGTAGGTGAGCATTAGTGCCAATGAAACTGGATGTGTGGCTATCTGAAACATTCTGGATACGTAAGGAAAGTCTTTTGATGAGGGATGGCTTCGGAAAAACTGTGTGGACTGTAAGATAGATTACATTATCCTGAACTCGATTTGTTTGTATTATTTTTAAGAATGAGTTGTCTTTCTGTAACACAAAATAGCTTTGCAAAACTTAGCGAACACAAAATAGTTTTGCCAAATGTATTGAGAGCATACCATGAACGATGCCTTCTGGAAACACACAAAATGGTTCCGCACTACAAACATCACTTGCACATGCAGGACAAGAGCATGGTTCCACTAGAGAATATATCAGCAAAAACCACGTGGTAAAAATAGCTGCTAAAGTCGTACTGCCCAGAGGAATTCTTCGGTAGCTTTATCTTGTGAAGTGCAAGGATGGGAGAACACAGAGGTTCCAGCAGTGCTCGAGAAGCATTCAGGTGCCCAGCGATGCCCCATTGGGAGTCAGGAATCTTTTAACAGTCATTGAAATCCAAAGGCTTCTTACCAGCAGGATGTAATATAGGCAAAAAAGACAGGCTGGCCAGCACCTGTGTATTCAAACGGTTCCTTAATCCCATTAGAAAACATTAGTCTTGACAAACTTTTTTTAATCGTGCTTCTTCACAAAGAGCAACTTTGTTCCAGGTAGTACAGCAGGGAATTACTGCAGTCAACTGGAGAGAACCTTAGAGTCCCACCACAGAATCTGTGCCATGTCACTAACTGCAGCATTTTATATCCCCTTTCCATATCACATCTGCTATGTCTTTCACTCACTTCACTGCTTTGGATTCCAGGTTCCAATTAGAACATCTTTCAAGTTTTTTCATGGTTTTGGTGAAAGGTAATTAATGTTTTCCTTAGGAAATGACCTGAAAACAGTTGCTTTCCACTCCCTTTAAAAATCAGTGGAGCCGACCCATGCAGAAATGCTTGATGGATCCAAATCCAGCTTAAGTTACAAGTCATGAGGATTTAGGCATCTTTCTCCTACACACTATTGAAAGGGAAAGTTCAGATCACAGGAGTGCTGTGAGGTTTGGCAGAGCTAGTAGCCTCTGATCCAAAAAGGTCTGCGAATGGAATGGCAGCGATGTGCAGCTCAAGCCTGTGGAGCCATGGCGTACGTGTACTTGCACTAGAAAGTGGAGCAGGAAGAACATTGTGTTTTATCATTTCTGTAGGTTTCCACTTTTATCCATTCCATTGATTCACATGTATCAAAACTCACACTAGTCAGTTGCAAAAGTGACTCTTTTTTTCATGTTAGGTCTGTTTACCTGAGTTCTTTTTACTTAAATCATGCAATGCACAGCATAAGGTCATATCACATCTGTAGCTAGAACTGTAGAGTATATTCCTTAGGCATGTTCCCTTTCATAATGTTTACCTCATAACAGATGTAAAATTGGAAACTGGGAATCAATTAAGGCTATTTTTCTCTGGCTACCAACTCCAGAAAATGTTTGGTTTGTACTATCTATAGAGGAATATGCTACTTGGTCCATTAAAAATTGCTTTTGAATAGGAAGTGTAACACACTAAATTGCTACGGTAGACTTCAGTGAGAGGCAAGTTGGTAGCTGGAGATCGTTTGATCTCAGGCTGTTATGTCGAGTCATTCCTGGGAAGGTGTGAGAGAATCTAAATAAAGCTTTTACAACTGTACGCCTCGCTTTTACAACAAGCGTTTCTCTGCAGCTTCTCTGGTAGGAAAACCCCTTAGCAACTAGGATTTTCAAGGGAGTTGGTGAAAATTAAAGCCAGTGTAAGTTGTTGATACCAGGTAATTTCAGCAGTTAAAAAATCTGGTGTTTAACCGAGTGGATATAAATGTAAATAGTTAAATGTTCTGTTTGGATAGAAACCTAGGGAATAACTCTTCAGAGATGACATTTGGACTTCTTTTGAGTAGAAACTGTAAGAAAACTAGAATAAATCCGATGTGCTCTTTACAATAGAAAACATGAAGATAATTCTTAATGAATTTGTCTTTATTCTAGGTCAAAGACCTTGAGAAGCTGTTGCACCGAGCTCATTCTGAGAGAGCAGAAGGTCAGACAGAACAGGATCGACGTAGCAAAGAAACTGGAAACCTGAATGATCAGATTCATCAATTGTTGGTAAAACAAGTGATAGTGTTGAAAAAAATCATACTTTCTAAAAGCTCCTTACTGCTGGTGTTCAGATTTGCACACTGCTTCTTTCCAAAGTGCAGCAGAACCCTTATAATGAAGTTTGAGGATTGTTTTATACTAGAAATTTGAATTAGCTGTGAAGAAAGTTGCCCCAAGGCCTTTACCATTAGCAATACAGGACATTTAGAATTAAGATTAACTTTGTCACAAATTCAAAATCCTTGAATCCTATGCAAATCATATTAAAGATGCTGAGCCACCTGCACTTTAACCTCACGGTTTAGATCCCTCTGTTAAGGAACCTTGGTCCCTTAACACTTATTTTGCAAGACATATCTGGGATTTTCCTAACAGCACTAAACATTTCTTTTTCACTCTTGGAGAACATTCACAAATTGAACACACAATATAAAAATGTTCTACCACATAGGGTTGATTTCATCACAACTGGCTTCATATACTATAATTAGCCTTGCTTTTCCTCTTATATAAGATTATTCCCTAGTGACTGAATTTTGGGATATTAGTTTGTGTGGTTTCATTAGGTTTGTTTGCACAGTTAGTGTCACAGTACTTCTGAAGGAGATGTTGAAACTACTTCATTCCATGTGAAGATCTCCTATTCAAGAATATGTTAGTGTCAGTCTTTTCCCATGGGTTGTACATAGCTATAGAGAAGACTGGAGTCAGAATATTGCATAATCGATGATGAGGAATCTAATTTTAGGATTCCTTTTGCTTCTGTTCTTTAACTCACATTCTCTGAGCTTCATACTTAGTTCTCCACTTCAGCTTTAACAATAAGCAGATATTTAACAATAGCGAAAGTTATGATTAGCAGAAATGCTTATTGATCATTCAGTTTGGGCACGTTTTAAATTCATATTTTTGAAATGAGTAGCTCTGAAATGTATATGTCAGAGTTTTTAATTGTATTTATGTTTTAAATTATCATTTCTAGTTTTAATTATGTGCTGTTAGGCTTACTTCTGAGGTGGAAAAGATTTTAGCTCTGGAGAACATGTGACAAATTACTGCATGAAATGAAACAAGCAATGAACAGTTTTTATTAGTAGTAAAGATGGGCATTTATCAAGAGCAACCTTCCTTGGCATGTAACGTCGTGCTTCATTATTTTTCATTTGGTGTTGACATAGTATAATCTTTTCTCATTTTGTAGCTTATGTTAATTTTGGGACAGATATAAATGACGTGAAAGACTACAGCGTTGAGGTGTTACGTGCTTCAAAATAATTACAGCAACAATATATGAAGTCGAAAGTTACTGCTTTGTTGAAAGAAAACATTTGGGAGATGTCAGACCAGTTTAGCCAATATTCCTGTCTTCTGCTGAGTGTAAATCCATGCAGTAGTCACTATCAGATTTGTAACCCTGTAATGGAATGTTGCTGATGTTAAGAGAAAGAACAAAAAAAAAAAAACCAACCTAAATGTGATTCAAAGAGAGAGATGACTTTGATTTCTTGTAGGCTCAACTTCATAAAAAAGAGAGAGAACTAAGTCTAGAAAAAGAGCAGAACAAGCGATTTTGGGGTGGGAAGACAGAGAGCAGCATCACCATTGACCATCTGAGGAGAGAACTAGACAAAAACATGCAACTGCAGCGCATGGAAAACACCGTGCAGGAAAGGAGGACTGGACGTCACAGACAGATGGAGCGCCAGGTTGGTGAGCAACTGAAGCAGGAGAGCCTTCAGGACAGAACCTGCACTGGTGCTGGAGGCTGTACTTAGATAGAAACACTGTGACTCTGCTTGCCATGGTTGGGAGGCCTCTTGGAGCTCATGTGCCAAAATTTTCCTTCCAAAGATGTAGATCTATGGCAGTCAGAATTCGTGTTATTTTTTTGCTATTACTCTCACCTCTCCAGCCTTCATTTCTCTTTACTGATGAGAAAGTAATGGCAGTCAGAATTCGTGTTATTTTTTTGCTACTACTCTGACCTCTCCAGCCTTCATTTTTCTTTACTGATGAGAAAGTAGAAGCGTTATTTTTAATTTTGGGTTTCGATGTACAAGCCTTAGGAGAAAATTAATGTTCTGCTGATAGTGTGTTTGATTTTGACTGTAAACCTCCAAAACAACAATTTGTAAGTTTCTGGAAAGTTTCATGCTGCCAGACATAACGAAGGTAGTATTTTCAGTAGTGAGGCATAATTAGCAAATTGAAGGCCTTCGTAATGCCTTACTTGATGTAGTGCTTAATGAAAACATAATTAAGTTTGTATTTATAACTCTAAGCTGAATGCAGTGCTATGTCAGAAGAATTACATCTGACAAAGTAGATGCCTAGGCACTGACTTGTAGTTAATTCTCCTTTTTTCAATACTCAGCCCCTCAAAAATGAGCTGTACTTAGGTAACCCACTTTGCATTATGAGTAAAGATCAAGTTAATTCCTTTATTTTCTACCAACTACAGGCTTGTGCTACCTCATGCATCGTTCTACATTTTCTTAATCCATTATTTTTTCCTTCAAAATTCTCCCACCAGGAAGCTGATGCCTTTCTTGTTTATCTATGTTGTACTATTAGCAGTTCCTGAGTCACAGTACTTTGTGCTTTAAGTGGTGCACGTTGCTGCCTGCAGGAATAAAATCAGTAATAAATTGTTCATGTACATACATTTTTTTCCCAACTTACAGTGCAGTCAGTTGAGTTTCAGCACTTACAGTTCTTTAGACCCAACTACTCTAAATTTTATACTAATGTTGTTGGTTTATTCAATTTTTTTACATCGGTTTAACATTTTTCATTTTCTATGATTAAAAAACCCAATATTCTAAGCCATACTTTATTTATTAAAATGGAGAAAGAGGAGAGAAAACCAGAAAAATCACATAGTCATTGTAGACCAGACCATGCTGACCTAATTTTCCTGTAAAACTAAGATATTTAAGATGAACTATGGAAAACGAGAAGTGACAGGAAATTCTAAGGGTAGAAATAAACGTTTCTCTTGGTCAATCCTTGTATTGCTATTATTCAGATGGCTGCAATTCAGGAAGAAAATGAAAGCACTGAAACAATCTCCTCTTTGATTGTCCAGGTGGAGTCAACCAAGGAAACACTCTGTAAAGTTGCAGAAGATCTTACAGCCAAACAGATAGATTTGGAGACTGCTGAGAAGAGCACGTCAAACCTTACGGCCCATCTGCAGGAGAAGGAGAGAGCCCTTGAGGTTACCAATAAGGAAATGAAGAATCTGCATTCACAACTCGACAGTAGGATGCAGGAGCTCCAGCATGTAAATAATGAAGAGGACTGTTCACTCACCGTGCAGTCAGAGTGTGAAATGCTGAAACTGCAGCTGTTAGAGAAGGAAAGGGTTATTGAGATCTTCCAGGAGCAAATTGCTAACATGACCCGGATTGTGGGCCAGCACAGTCGAACTGCTGGAGCAATGGAAGTTGAGAAATCTCAGCTTATTAAAGAAATAAATGACTGGAAACTTGAAGTAGAAGAGCTTAAGGTGTGCAAATGATGCTGAATTTATGTCTCTGTAAGACAGTAAATGTCTTCTGGTTTTAAATCTGTACCTTAATGTGCTAATACTGTGGGTTTAAAGCAGGTCGGACAATGCACCTTGAATCCTAACAGCACTAGAAGAGCTAGTGGGCAGAGAAGAATAATATTATCACATTACCAGCAAAAATGAATAATTCAGTGGTGCAAAGGAGTTGCCAAAAGGTTTGTGAAAGTTGGAATATAACAATTGTCCACACCAGTAACAGAACCAGAAATACAAAGCGTTACTGAGAAATAACAGACAGTGAGCACTCAGAATTCCAAACTGAGGACACTGTTTACAACTAGTTATTTCTCAGACGAGAATTACAGGATATGGTAGTCTTAGACAGGTCAGCATCGTCAGAAAAAATGTACCCCAGATAGGGAATTTCATCCTCTTCTGTCAGAAGGCAGTTGAGCATTAGAAGTGAATACGGAGGTAGTGCTACAAGAGGATGGAAATAATTTTCATATGTACCTGCTAAGGTTAAACATGTTGTGAAGCCATCACATCAGATTCTGTTGTACCCTTTTTGCCTGGATTAGCAATTTTCACAAAAGTAATTTGTCTGTTTTACTCTCTTTTTCTTTCTTGCCCCAAACTGTTCTCTGACAACTGAGATTTAAAGTAATGATGATGTCTGCACATCTTTGTGGTTATTTCATATAATTATGTATATTACACATAATTACTATTGGTTTTTATGTAAGTAGATTACAGAGGATGAGAAAGAAGCCCGAATACGTGAAATGGAGGCCAGACTGAGTGAGCTGGAACTGGAGAAGATCAGACTGGTGAATACATGCAGTGAGAGGCTCCATGCACTTAATGATATGAAACTGGAAAAAGACCAGCTAATGAATGAACTCCAAGCCGGTCGGAGTGAGCTAGCTGGCCTCGCAGGTAGGCAGCCTCAACTTAGCTCAGCTCTGATAGCTGCTAAACTGGGCTGATGTTAAAAATAAAAGAGCAGCTTCCTTACTGAATCCAAATACGGCTGCTGGTACAGCAGAAGGTTCCCTGCCAGCACGGGATGGTCCGATTGCTTCAGAGAGCTGTGTGGTGGTTCGGGATTCTGGCACAGGATGATGGGAATACAGACTTTGTGGCAGTCTTTCACAACCCTGAGGAAAAATGCTTAAACCACCTGTCTCCGGAGACCAGAGATGCAGATCTCGTAGATCATGGGATAGAAACTTGACTGCTTTTGCCCGAGCGTTATTTAAGAGCACTAGTGGAGCCCATTAACCATCTGTAGTCAAATTACAGTGGAACTTTGTTCCTGTTTTGTTGTAGTGTTGCTAAAACATTATTTTAAAAGTTTATGTTCCAACTCCACTGTTTTCACCTCTAATGTGTGGGGAAGCTGGCTGAGATCATATTTAAAAAACAGTAAAATAATTAGAGGCTGGACCCACCAAAATTCAGGGAGATCCTCTGTTAAATGTGTGCTGCAGCCAGCCAGACAGCTGATATGCTCTCTACACACCCCTGTACTCCCATAAAATACCCATTGGTAACATTTCTTTCTTCACAACTCAGCTATACTTGTAGACTCATTAAGTTTTTAAAGAATTAAACAGATACTTTTGTGGTTTTACGTGAAGATCTGCCTTAGGTTTGTTCCTGGTGAAACAGAAGCTTTTGCTGACGTGCAAGACAGTGAACTACTAGTGCATTTGTTAGCAGTGGATGTTATTTGCTTGATGCCTTAGCCATCTGCATATCTAATACTCCTTTAAAGACAGCAGGTGACAGATCAGTAATCTTAATCCAGAAGAATCCTAATTTTTGTCACTATAATGTCAACGTTTCTCTCACCAGAGGGATTTGAAGATTTGAAGAGGGATTACCAGGATAAAATCGAGGAAATGGAAAACACTGCAAATAGACTGAAAATGCAGTTGAAATCTGCCCGAGCTGAACTGGAACAGACCAGGACTGCTCTAAAGACTATGGAGGGATCTGATGGCCACGGTAATTATGGATTGAACTTCCCAAAACTCACACACATTTGTCTTTTTCTAAGTATTGATCTCTCAATAGATGTTGTGTTAATATTCCAGCTATTTTGTGAAATAAATAAACAATATTGCAGATGAGAGCATACTTTTATTTTACCATTTGCTACATTCTGTAAAACTTGAACCATGAGTTGAGTGTTCTCAGGTGATCTTTACGCAAAGTTCCAGGAAACGCTGTCTTCTTGCCTTGTGTGTGTGTTAGGTCTGATGCTTCTACCTTGGACAGAACTCCAGCTGGTTCTAACGGGTGGTTTGCACACGAGTGACTACAGGATCCTGGTTTAACTTATTTATTCTAACGTATTGCTGATAACTGACTTCCAGCGTCTTTCGTCAAGACTCAGAACGCATAATCAATGTTGATCATTGACACTTAACCTTTTCTTTTATCATTAAGAATTAACCTTTTCTTTTCCAGCTATAAAAGTTGCAGTGGGAATGCAGAAGAAGATCACAGCCAAGAGAGGACAGATAGATGCATTGCAGAGCAAGATTAAATTCTTGGAAGAGGCAATGACAAATGCAGCTAAGGTCACAAGAGCTCCATGAGAAAGTATATAACTGTGTCTAGAGAAATTTTTCTGTGGAGAAATCCATGGCCAAAAGCACCGTTGGCCCAAGAAGGACCAAAGAGAATCTTACTTGATGTAATGGGCACCTTCCCCGTCCTTCTGATGGCATATATTAGGGAATATCTCCACCACATAAATTAGTTTTACATTTGTTCTTCATGAAAGAACAGTAGTAGTTTCAATGAGAATCAAGCTCTTACATATCAGTTCTTTGTAAAAATGTCAACTAATGCACTCTGTATCCTTCTGAATTTGGCCCACTGTGCTTCCCCTCTTTGTTTTCTGAGGCAGTTCTTTGCAGTTCTGGTTGTAACCTCTGTATGTCAAGGTCTGTCTAGAATATTGAGGTCTTTCTAGCATTTTCTGTGACAAACCATTGTGTTACCAATAGCTGGTGTTTACCGAATGATAATTTATATTTGTTCACTGTAACCTGTCCTCTTTCACTGACTTTGGATCTTGCGGATCCTGGAGCTTAAAATTCCAGTTTCAAAGTGCATCTACAATATGAGATGCTACATCAGGACTTGTCTGATTGTACTTTTCTTTATAAGACCTATTTTCTCATTGAAAAGCCTCATCTTTCTGCAAGGTGCAACAGCTAAGCTTCTGAAAAGGTCAATTCAGGTCTGTCAAAGAGAAATAAAAAATGCCAAAAACAAGTATGTATAATGTAGGTAGTTACAAATTCTTGCCTCATACTTTGTTGTCCTTGTCTTAAATTCAGGAGAAGCATTATCTCAGAGAAGAAAATAGTAAACTAAGTCAAGAATTGAGCTATATTACAGCAGAAAATATCAAGATCGCTGGGGAACTGGAAATCCTGAGATCGCAAGACAAACGTCTGAAAGAAAAAATATCCAAGATGGAGACAGCCCTTGATAAGGTAATTTTAGGTAGCTTTCCGTGCAGAGAGACTGCTGGGTGCTTTCCTCTGCAGTCACTTGGGAAGAGAAAACGTCTGACTTCTTGCCTAGGCTGTGTTTAGTGTGTCCTACTCACATGTACTGTAAGATACTCGACTGAAGAGATGTCTGTAGTTAAGACTGTCTTCTGGTTTTTTAATGGTAAAAGACTTCTGTGTTCATTAAGAGAATTCTTGATTTACTCCTTACTAGCTCAGGGAATTAAAAACTGCAGGGAATTTAAAGGAAATTGCCCTTCCAGACCTTCCACTGACTCTTGGCATAGCTCCTCTCCCTGGCAAGAGAGACTATTATTCACCAAAAACAGGGGCTCGACTGGAGCTGAACGTGAGCACACACTGACTCAGCACACTTGTCCATGGTCAGCTCCTCCTGAGACCTTAGTTAGCCAGCTCTGGATCCCTCAGGGTGAGGGAAATTAAGGACATCCTGTTGTTTCATTTGCATTTTTCAGTTGAGGTTTCTGATGCTGACACACGTGACTCTTAAGGCTAGGTTCTACATTTTGGTGACTCGCAGATAAATCCCAGGTGCCCTACAGGTAAGCTGCTGCTCTTCCAGAAGGAAGAGTCTTTTTCAGCTGCTCGGAATTCCAGCTTTTCAGGATGTAAACTTCCATTTAAGGTGTCGTTTTCAAATTGCTTTGTTATCTTAAAAAGATAATAAAAGTAATTGCGATACCTCGTCCCAAGTGTGGCATTTCTTAATTTAAATGCTTGGTGCTGGAAACTTAACTTTCTTTAATATATTATATTAAAGAAATATATAATATTTCTTTAATATTATATATAATTATAGAA